GCTGTGCTGGGAGGTTATGGTGGTGGGAAGTAGCTGGGACAGCTCCAGGGTAAGTTCCAGTCAGGGTATATGTGGCCCCTTGAGCTGGTGGCCTATTTAGCCAGCTCTGGGATTTCTGCTGGCCCAGCCCAGTGCCTGCCAGGTGAAGGCTGGGCTGTGCCTCACCCCATTTGCTCTGTGCCTGTGTGTTCCCACAGGCCTGGTGGGGCCAGGGGGCAGCTCTCTCCAGCCACACTCTCCTACCAGCTTCCTGCCTTTGTTGAGCCTGTGCCTTCCATCTGGCACGCCTGTCATCCCAGCTCCTATGCCCAAGTCCTTGGTGGGCTTCGAGACCCAGTAACAATGCCACCTCCTCCAGGCAGCCTTCCTGACTCCGCCTACCTCCTCCTCACCTGCCCAGCTCTAAGATTTCTCCCTTCTCTTCATTGATCTATTGAATGTGTTTGTCCCCAGCCCAGACTTCCAGCTTTATATTTCCCCACAGATGGAGCCCAGGTGCAGGGCTTAGTCAGGCCAGGAGGGAGCCCATGGTCATCTTTTAGCTGGGGAGGTGAGGCTGGGGCTAACCAGGACATAGGCCATAGGAAGTTTCAGCCCTTGGGGTGCTTGGCCCCATCTCCCTAGGGGTGTTTGTTGTCTAATGCGGCTCAGCCCAGTCCTGTGCAAATGCTGGCGTCTGGCTGGTCCCAGGGGACAGTGCTGGCTGTGGTCCCAGGGGATGGTGCTGGCTGTGTGCTCTCTGGCCCATTCTGGTCTGAGGGCTCTTGGGCCACATGGTGGGTGGACCATGCGGCTGTGCACTGTTGTGTCGCATCTGGACCCTGTGAGCAGAATCTCCTCATTTGGGGTTCAAGCATGTACCCCTGCTCTTAGCTGTGTGATTGTGCTCTGATCATGTCTCCTGCTGGATCATGTTCCCACAGGCGAGGAGGGTCCCTGGCTGGGATCTGGGAAGTCAGCCCCTTAGATCACTTTCCAGAGTGCCTGAGCCACCTCTCAGAGGAACACATATTCTAGAAGTGTACTTCCCAGAGCACTGTGAATTTCTGGTTGAAGCTTTGAGCATGGGGTGTAACTTCCAGGTTCTCAGAAAACTTGTTTGCATCAGGTGCCTTTGCCTGCCGGTTTGCCCACGGTAGCTGTGACGTTTGTGAGAAGAGCATGCCAGGCGTCATGACCATATAGTGGCTGTGCAAGTGCACTGGGCTGGCCGTCAGCAGCAGGCGTGTTTCATAGTCCCACATGGTATGACCAGGTGCTCTGTGTTGAACTCCTAGAGACTAGATACTTCCCGTTGTGGGGGCCAAACAGAGATGGGGACCAGTCCTGCCTGAACCTTTGCTGGGAGTGGGCAGCATCTGAGACCACCTGCTCAGGTCCCTGCAGCTTGTCTGTAGCAGAGCCAGAGTCCTGTCCTTCTGAGCAAGAATTGAGATGGGAACTTTTTTCATAGCATCTGACATTGTCTTTGCAAACAAAACTTTTCTTAGTGAGCTTCCCATGTCCCCATGGGAAGTGTGTCCTCACTTGCTAAACATTGAGCCCTTTCCCTCAGACTGGACAAGTGGTAGCCCTGTCTCTAGGCCCCAGCAGGAGCCAGGGTGTCAGCTGGGCCCTCCGTCCACTGCAGGAGGACCTGCCTGGACCAGCTTTTCCTCTTGATGGAGGACCCCCACCAGGTGGCCTGCTCCTCTTGGTTGAGGACCCTCACCCATGGCCTGCCCCAGGTTCTCTGCCATGGTGCAACCTGGCCTTGCCTGTGACCCCCTCTAAGAGCACAGCAGGGAGCAGGAGGGACTGAGGCATCAGGCCAGCATTAGGGACTTAAAATCCTGCCTCCGTAGGCAAGAGTGGCCTAGGTGCACAGGGTCTGCAGGTGATGGGGGCCTGAGCCGATAGTGAAGCTTCCCACAGGCCCACTCAACACTCTACCCGTGTGGTCGCCTGTCCCAGCACTTCTGCTTTAGTAGGCCTGTGGTGCGGCCCAAGAATATGCATTCCAAAGACGTTCCCTAGTGGTGCTGATGCTGTAGGCCTGGGGCCTCACATCTGGGCTGCCCTCCTCCTTTTTGTGTCTAAGAGTCGATCACACATCACATGGAGTAGAGTGAGGAGGACTTCAGGGGACAGGGCACCAGGCTCCTTTTCTGGGGACCTGAGTTGGTCCTGTACCCTCTCCTAATGTAGGGGCCTGGTGTGTTCTCAAGGCCCTCCCAGTCCATGTGCTGGAGTTCGTAATGTCAGGTGACTCTGGCCACCGCTCAGGCTCTCTAGGTCTGAGTTTCCTGCTGTGTGATTGAGGGGCACTGATTGGCAGTCCTCATGCTCAGTGGGTCTTGCTTGTCCACCTTAGTCCCCCGTGGGTGGGCTGCCACTCTGCTGTCTCATCCCTCCTGAGCACAGAGACAGTTGTCTCCTCAAATCTTGGTTGGGTTCTGAATAAGACCTTTCTGCAGAGGCTTTAGGGATGTGGGTTCTCAGGGTGAGGATGCTCCCTGCCCAGGGCTTCAGGGCCTGCTGTCTGTGACCACACAGGGCCAGGCAGGCTGTGGGAAGGGGTTGGTCAGGAGGTGTGGATTCAGTGCCTCCAGGTACAGTGGATAGCCTCTGGGCCCAGGGATGGACCAGTGGTTTAGAAATGACCTGTAGGCAGATTCAGGACTGTGCTCTTGTTCTGTTGTCCATCCTGGTACCCAGGGCAGGAAGTGGTCTGGGAAGGCCAATCCCAGCTATGAATATGGGCCCAGTCAGGCTTTTGGAGAGATTCTAGTTCTCTGGGGCCTGAGCAGGATAAAGGCACATTGTTGGGGGCCACTGTGGGCCTGTGGTAGAAGTGGGCTCGTTCTCTGCTCGTGGGCCTAGGCCTGGGTACAAGACCATCCTGGGCAGGGCAGAGTCCATTCTGAGCCTGCTGATCATGCTGGCCTCCCTGGGCTCACCCTAGGATGGGGTAGGGACATGGCTTCTGATGTCTGCAGAGACACTGGGGCCTGGAGGGCGCAGACCTTCCTAAAGGAGGGAGTTGGTGCTAATGCCAGAAGCCCTGCTGGTTCCCACCTGGGGCCAGGGGCCAGGTGCGGGCAGTGTCTACACACACAGAAGGAAGGGAAGCTGGCCAGGGTACTTTGGGGACTTTTAAGCAGGTGGACAGAGGGTTCAGCACTGGGCTGGTCTTACTTGGTGTGTGATTGTGACACTGACATGTGCCCAGATAGTGACAGTGACGCTGACTATATCAGCACCAGGCTCTGTCCTCATTGCACCCACTTTAGCTCATTCAATCCATGAGACATCTGGAGGTAGGGACAATTAATGTCCCATCACACCCACAAGGA